TTTGCATTATGATCTGGTCCATTTCCATTTATAAGTGTTATAACAAAATTCTTGCAAGAGTTGACACTCTATGATTATGTATACAAAATTCTGTAGATTTCACAAGTAATCACTTGGCACTTGTTAGGAATGTAAGTCACCTAACAACTATTTGGGTTGGACAATATATAATCCAGGGTAGACATTTTAATACTGCCTCTTTAAGAGAATCCTAAAAGTATAATTGGGTGTGGTTTCTCAAACGGCCATAAGATAGAGCCAGAAACCTGGGTTGTCTTAGTCTGAGTCTCTGTTTTCCTTCTGTTGGAGAGTATTGCCATTCCTCCTAATTGATTGGTATTCATGGATTTGATGCAAGTCTGATACTGAACTGTTTTTGGTACTGGACTTTGTTATTGGATTATCCTTGGACTGAAAACTGACTGACTTACCTGTGAATGACTTTGGACTGCTGATTTTGAACTTTGTTTAAACCTTTATTGAAAGTTAAAAAAAACCTACATTTATTTTACTGTACAGTGTATCTGTGTGCTGTGTGTGTATTATTCAAACACTACTCTCAAATACGTCTCCCTGTATGCGCTCATTCTCCTAACAGGGAATTACCTCAACAGCACTGCTTTATAAAACCAGATTACAGTGGATGATAGTCAAAGTCTGTGGTCTACATGCTGACCTTTTTAAATTTAGTCAAACAGAACCTGTATTGCAGAGCAGATGGTTTAATATTAGAGTAATGTGATTGGGAAACTAGTAATGTAATTAGAAAGAAAATAATCTACAAACTCATTCTATGCTTGCAAAAATTTTGACTATCAGGATATTAGCATGATGTAAAAAAATGCAGAACAGGAAAGACATAAGAAAATATGCAGAGTTCTGAAATATTGTTTCATATTGACAATCTATTTTATAGTCATTTTACCAGTTCAAGTATTTTACCAATATCCACAATGTGTTAATGATTATTAAGATTTTTAAATGTTATTAAGAATCAAATTATTAACCGTTTTTACATCATTATTAATAAATAGGTAATTGTTCGTCTCACAGTAAGCCAGATGTTCAGACTGGATTTGGCATTTTTATTGTCCTATTGAACCCTTCCCAAGGATCGGGGATAGATATTGGTATTTTGTGGTATTAGAGGTATCATCATAGGATGTAAGCTGTTCTGGGTAAAACTGACTTTTGCAAATGACTGATAGTGAATTTGTCAATGCTGATGTGTTCACATAGTGCTCCAGTTGTTTTAGGATTGCACCCAAGGTATCACCACTGGATATGTTCCAAATAACTAGGATAGCCTGGTTGTTGCTGCAGTTGTAGATTTAACTAGTACTTACCGTTCAGTGATGGGATTCAAAGATTCTTACTACCGGTTCTGTAAGTGTGGCTTGGTGGGCATGGCAGAGGAAGGATAATGTAAAATCTCCATTCCCATCCCACTCCAGGGGAAGGATACTGTAAAATCTCCATTCCCTCCCAACTCCTGGGGGAAGGATATACTGCAAAATCCCATTCCCTCCCCACCCCATTAACCTGCTTTCCAGCTTTGTTCTCCTGTGCAAGGCAACAAAAGAAGACCCAGCCAATCAGCTGGGACTCGGGAGGCAGAGAATAGAGGGGGCAGGGCCAGTCAGAGGTGGTATTTGCCGGTCCTCTGAACTACTCAAAATTTCCACTACCGGTTCTCCAGAACTGGTCAGAACCTGCAAAATACCACCTCTGTTACTGCTGCAGCCTACTGCCACTACCAGTTATAGAAACCAGATCAAAAGAAGGAAAAGGCTACCCCACCTGCTGTTTGAGAAAGGATAGAACAATGTAAACCCAGTATCTCAATAGTCAATCACAAAATGGCCTAGGCATTCACAAGTATGTTACCAGATTGCACCGCTCCAACAGAGCTATAAACTGAGACCATTAATGTCTGTTTAAACTGGAATTTAGGTTCTTAGAAACACACAATAACAGAGAGTTAGGCTCAGAGAAAAAAGAATTAGGATTCGAAGAACAAATGTGAAGAAGAAAAAGTAGGTAGGGTGTAAAGAGTACAGAATGAAAAAAAAAAAAAATTGTGAAAGAAATTTGGCAAGACATGAGTACATTTAGAATCAAAAGAGCCATGGTGGCACAGTGATTGGAATGCAGTATTGCAGGCTAATTCTGCCCACAACCTGGAGTTTAATTCTGACTGGCTCAAGATTGACTCAGTCTTCCAATCTTCCGAGGTTGGTGAAATAAGGACTAGATAGTTGGGGGAAATATGCCAATGTTGTAAACCACTCAGAGAGTGCTGTAAAGTAGGGGTCCACAACCCTCTGGGAACCAGGCTGCACAAGCGGTGGACAAGTATGTGAAGTGGATTAGATTGTGTGTGTGAAACCACCCCAAGCCACCACCGAGCCATGGAGCCAGAAAGGTTGGGGATCGTTTCTGTAAAGCACTATAAGTCTAAGTGCTATTGCTGTTGCTAAAAAAACAACAATACCAAGATGAACTTCTGATTGAATGGAAGAAAGTGCTTTGGTGTGTCCCCGGGTAATTGTTTAATTTTATAAAATCAATCAGAATAGAGTTGGAAGGGACTTTGAAGATCTTCTAGTCCAACCTCCTGCTCAAGTAGGAGACCCTATAGCATTTCAGACAGTGATTGTTCAATCTCTTCTTAAAAACCTCCAGTAATGAAGCACTCACAACTTCCTATGGCAAGGTGTTCCAACTGGTTAATTCTCACTGTTAAGAATTTCTCCTTAATTCCAGGTTGCTTCTCTCCTTGATTAGTTTCCATCCATTTCTGCCCCCTGGTGCTTTGGAAAATAAGTTGACCCCCTCCTCTTTGTGGCAACCTCTCGGATACTGGAATAGTGCTATCATGTCACCCTTTTTTTTCTGTAGACCAGGAGTGTCAAACTCAAGGCCCACGGGCTGGATCCAGGTCACGATGCAGCCAAATCCAGCCCATGTGGCCATCCTGGAAACTGTTAAGGGTCCAGCTCGCCTCTCTTCAGCCTGGTCCATGCCATCCTGGTGTGTGTGTGCATGCACAGGCCCAGTTCTCCATTGCCAAGTGCAGAACAACTAAAGTAGTCTGTGGGACTATGGTTAAAAAAAATAATAGTTCAAACCTTCCAACCTCATGAGATCTTTTTTTTTTTTTCGTGAGAAGTTGGAAGGTCTGAACTATTTTTTTACCATAGTCCCACAGACTATTTTAGTTGCTCTGCACAAGGTGGCGGCAAAAGGAGCTGGAAAGATTAGTGAAGAGGGATGTCCTGGGTGGCAGGGTGTGTGTGAGGGTTTGGCCTGTCTCTCCCGGCTTCAGCACTTCAGTGCCTGTTGGCAGGACGCTCAAGTAAGCTGGTGTGGGGCACGGAGAGGGTGGCTCCACACACTCCTGCCTTGCTTTGTACTCCACCTCTCACTGCTTCACTGCTCAGGTGGCTCCTGCCACTCACGTCGCTGCCAGTGGCTGAAGATCACTCTCTCTCCCATACACACGCACGCACACACACAAACAGAGGTTGCATTGGATTGCTCTCTGTCTTGCCCCATGTGCATGCTTTGCAGTGGAGCTGCTCGGAAGGCAACTGCCGTAGTCTGTCCCTTTAAGCTACTTTGACGCGGGAGGAAGGGGGACCATAAAGGGACAGGCCACAGAAGCTGCCTTCCAAGTAGCTCCCCTGCGAAGGGAGGCAGAAAAGTTTGGCCAAGTCCTCTCCTCCTTCTCTGGCATACACACAGTGTGCACACATCTCAAGGCGCTGGGACCTTCTGCAAGGAGATGGTACATGGGCGAGTCCCTCTGCTGCTGTGAGATGTGTGCCTGTTTGCTCTGTGTGTATGAGGCCAAGAAGGAGGAGAGAAGCAACCAGGTTGAATGCTGTGGCAGAGAGAAGCAGCCAGGTTGAACATTAGAAGACTTGGCTGAACCTTTCTGCCAGTTCTGTGGGTGTGGCTTGATGGGCGTGGCTTGGTTGGGGGGGGTGTCCTGTGACTGAGTGGGTGTGGCCAACTCGATGTCACTCAAAACAAGGTGCCACCCCACCATGCTGTGAGTGACATCAAGTTGGCCACAACCACTCAGTCACATAACCCCCCCCACCAAGTCACGCCCACCAAGACATGCTCACAGAACCAGTAGTAAAAAAACGTGAATCCCACCACTGTCAGAGGTTCTGACCTGTTCAGCAGGTTCTGACCAGCTCTGGAGAACTGGTGGATTTGCTCTTGTTTGCAAGTTTTCTTCTAAAAGTGACATGTTTCCATCAGTCTAAATTTGACTTCATTTAGTACAGTAGTTCAGCACACAGTGTTACTTACATTTAATAGAAAATAGTATTATATTTAGTGTAGTATAGTACTTACTACAACATAAATAACATTTTAAAAATGTTTCTCCTAAGTGATAAGCAGCTACTTTTGGAAAGTGACTCCTGCAAGGTTTTCTGGTTTCTGCATACACTGTATTTTTATACATTTCTTAGATATGGACCTATGACCTTGTCTACCATAGAATATTTTGCGTCCCTAGTTTTCAATTTTAACCTAGCATAGCTCTGATTGCATATGAAACAAATGCATCATTGTTTAATTTTTTTTAAAAGGAGAGCAGATGGTATTAAGTGTTAATAGACACTGCATACCAGTCATTCCACATAACAGATTCTCAGCTGTTGATTTCTGACAGGCAGAAGCATCTGGTTTCTAAAAATACTTGTCAGAACACACATTAATTTCCCAATAGGAGACAGTACTCTTGTAACTATTGCATGACCATTTTTCCCAAGAGTAATAGAATTTTACTCATGGTTTCATGAAGACAACCCTGATAGTGTGTTTGCCAACCTTTCTTTCCTCTCTGCAAAGGCATTTGATGAACTTTAAAAAGGCTTTCCTGTTCCTTATGGAGGAAGGGTACTATTTGGGAGGTCCTAAGACTGCCCATTTATAGGATTGGTTCTCTGAAAGTTGGGAAGTCTTTAAAGAGCAGGAGTGATATAGAATCTGAGTCATTTGGAACCTTCCTGTGTAAAATGCTTAGATGTCCTGATATAGAAAAAGGAAGCATGGAAACAGTTGAAGTGTTTGATTCAGAAGGCAAAGGCAGGGGGCTGAAAGCAACAAAAGAATTTTGGGCTGGAGATGTAATTTTTGCAGAGCGAGCCTATGCTGCAGTGGTATTTGACAGGTAAGCAGGGAAAATTAATGTGTGCATTATTAGGAAGCAAGTGGGGAATACAAGAGGGAGATGGTGAAAGAGAGATGCTATTCATCATCTCCTAATCAGGTAAAAAGTTAAGATTCCTCCAATTTACAGATGAGAAAATAGGAGTACCGAGGAAGAGACTTCTTAGACACAGTTTTCTATAACAGTGATGAGATAGAACATTCCTCTTTTCATCTCTACCTTGAAGTCATAATGTACCTTTAAAAAAATCACTCAGGATTAAATACCCCCTTTCCATAAACATGCAATATCAGCATAATATGTTGAGGGTGTTTGTAGAATCACATTTAACACCTTAATGGTGCTATATGAGTACATGTATTTGATATTATCAACCATCAACTGTGATTGTGCAGTCTGGTCAGAAGCTCATACTGGCAGTTTTATTGATAATACTTATTGCTTAGACATTGTTAATATGAAATGATGAGAGTAAGATATCATAAAATATATTCCCTATTGCCTTCCCTCTAAATACTTTCTTCTCTACAATTTAAAGGCTGGTTTAAATTCCTGACCTTTAAAAAAAATCGGAATATAAATTTAGATTTGTAGAAGATCCCAGGTGTAATCTCCCAGAATTATTGGATGACTGTCACTTCATTTATGATGAATGCCAAGGCAATTGGGTGGAAAGTACCTTAGTTGTAGGGCTGCACCTCTGTTGGTTCCCCTGTTTTATAATCCATAAGTGAATAAGGAACTATGAAATGGGGAAGCCTGTTTAGCTAGATTACTTTGTTCACAGGTTTCTGTAGGTCCTGGAGCCCTGTGTAATCACATTGGAATATGTTAGCCTTGCCTTACCTGCTTTTGGAAGTGGCCAGTGCCGGACAAGCCATGTATCCCTGAAGCAGAAGTAGAGATGCCACTCTTTGTATATCCATATTATATCTTATTACTAACAATATCTAAAGAAGTGATTGATTTTTCATAGGTAACATATGCTGGTGAAAAAAGATGTTGGACCAACAACATTGACTTTGACATCAACTCAGGCCACCATATAGTAAAGCTGTAAATTTTTCTTTTACCCCTTTCCTCCTAACGTAGAGGCTTTATCGGTGTTCTCGAGTGCTAAATTTAGACATGCTATTTTGCCTCTTTAGTTCAGCCTCCCGAATCTCCTTGATCTTTTCCCCTTTGGCTGGGAAGAAAGGGAACAGTGTACATTAATTCCTCAGCTTTGCAACCACTGCTTGTAGGTAACCTAGCTTCGTCTACTATCATCACTATCCAATGCTGCTATTTTCCAGATATGAAACCTTTGGATGTTCATTGAAAAAAATTTCTTCATACATATAGCCCAATGAAGGAATGCAGTGAGAGATAGCATCAAGACAATGAGAAATGATAGCACTGCTTTACACTACTCTGGCGAGATCACACCTGAAATACTAGGTCCAGTTCTGGTAATCACAATAGAACAAAAGTTGCTGAGACCTCAAAAGGGTGCAGAAAAGAGCAATAAAAATGACAGAGGGTCTGAAGGCTAAATTGTACAATGAACAGTTGAGGTTTCTAAGCATGTCTAGCCTATTGGAGAGAAAGATTAGTGGGGACATAATAGATGTCTTCCAGTACTTGAGGGACTATCGCAAAGCAGAGGGGTTTGATTTATTCTATAGGGCACTAAGGGCAGGACAAGAAGTAAAGGTTAAGAAGTAAAACCTTGTCAAAGAGAAATCTATCCTGTAAGGATAAATTTTCTGATAGTGAGAGCAATTAATCAATGGAATTGCTTGCCTCCTAGAGTTTTTGGGTGCTCCCTCTCTGGAAGTTTTCAGGAATGGACTGGATAATCATTTGAGTGGAATGGTAGAAGGCTCCTGCATGGAGTTGGATTAGATACTCTGAGGTCCCTTCCAACCCTATGAATCTATGATTTTAATTGATTACTAGAAGCTAAACTTACCTTTTTTGTGATATACCAATAATTATTTGGTCTACAGACTTCAGAAGAACTGCAGAAGGCATGCCACCAAATTGTTTGAGTGGAGAGGGCCAGAATTCAAGTATTACTGTTTTACGGACGGCAACAGAGAGCAGTTAAATTGACAAAATGGATTTCTTAGGTCTTGCAAAATAGTATGTAGAAATCTAGTGTCTGAAGGTTAGGGCAAAAAGAAACTATGTTTGAAATCCAGCAGGAATGGATTTGTGTTTATCCAGAGACACCTTGGCTTGTTAAATGGTTGTTCTGAATGGGGTCATCTCCCAACTGAAGAAAATGTCCATAACCTGGGATTCTCCAGGACTCAAGACAATGACTTGAAGAGTAAATGGAAACCAGGGGCTCTTCATCCAGCTGGGCTGCTGCATCAATTGCAGATGTACCCCAGGGACCCTGAGCCTTGAAGCCATGATTTCAGTGACTCAGGTTTTCATTATCACACATCTATATTATTCTAATGCACTGTATATGGCAATAACTTTTATAGATAACTTTGAAACTGCAGCTGCTAGGATATTGTTGCATGAAAGTCATCACAGTTGTATAACATTAATTTTCTGGTTGTTCATTTGTCTTCAAAACAATTATTTTTTAGCTTTATTTAAAATATTTTGATAAGTAATCATGTTTCACTTCCAGGACTTGCCAGTACAATTGATGCAATTTTGCACTTTATTGTTATTTTTATTCCTCCTAAGTCCTTGCAACTAAGTCTTGGAAAAGAGCATGTGTGATTATAGTAGATTTCATTTCAGACATTTAAGATGTCTTTAAACAATTGAGCTAGAAGATAAATCTGCAGTTTTCTCATTGAGAAAAATGTACGCAGTCATAGCAACTTTTTCCAGCTGGAGAAGTTATAATTTTTTTATTTCCAGGTATGTTGGGGATCCAGTCCCAGAAGCTCCAATAGCAACATTCTGGAGTTGTGAGAACACTGATTCTTTCATGCCAACACAGCTGGAGAACAATAAATTGGAGAAATTAGCACAGTACACTCTTAGATGATTGATGGAATTCAATATCTGCCCCTCCCTCCTTTATCATATTTCAATTCTCAAAAGCAAATTCCACCTCAGATTAGCTGTATTGGAAACTGTTTGTGGGTCGATGTGATCCTTTTGGCAATGCATTTATGAACACTGAAATAATATTGTGAAGATATCAGGCTCCTGTATAGGAACCACAGAATAGCCATGTTTATGTATATGACAGAAAAAAGTTTCCATCTAATATGTGCATGCATCTGACAAGTAGAAGGAAAAGCAAGGTCACCCTCACCATTCCTATGTCATTTAAAGTGCTAGGCCTGTTTATATTACAGCATCTGCTTGGTATTGCCCAGCCATCACTGAAATCTTACGAAGGCAATATTTTGGCCCAGCAATGAATGGTGAGAAGAAAAAGAGGTCTTTGCTTCCCTACTTCCTTGTCATTGCTCCCAAATAGTGATCACATGATCCTGGGATGCTGCAACCATCCTAAATACATGCCAGTTGCCAAGTACCTATAGTCTGATCATGTGATAATGGAGACGCTGAAATGGATAGAAGTGTGAGGATCAGTTGTGTACGTCACTTTTTCCAGCGCTGTTGTAATTTTGAATGGTCACTAAACTGATAGTTGTAAGTCAAGGACTACCTGTACAATGCATACCTTAACTGTGATTAGTAGATGGAATGATAGTCACCAATTTAGAACCAGAAAAAAAAACTAAACCAAAACAAAACCCAAGGCTATATTCTTCAAGGTCTTGAAGAAGAATTTGAAAAGTTACTGCTTTAAAGAGGTGTGTTGCCCTTGTGCTCCTCCATGTTCCAAAGTACCTTTTTGAATGACTTTTGAGGCATATATAGACAAATTCATGGTAGTTCAATCTAGCAGTGGCCACAGCGGCAGTATATTATGCATCATCATAGCTATAACTATTTTGTCCTGTTTTCTGAAAGTTGATTGGTTGTTATGGGACCCAGAATACTGTATTAGTCTAGAGCAAGCTTGGCCATGGTTTTTTTATTTAATTTACCATATTTGCTCATTTTGGCCCTGCCATGAAATTATGGTCTTACATTCTAGAACAAACTAAACTATTTAAATGTAAATCATTGTTTAATATCCTGACTGATTCCCTTTCAGATTACATTGGAGGATATATAATTACTGAAAATGTCTTGTGGATGTTTCATGCAAAGGGTAGAATGAACAGGCTAAAGTTTGGGGAAATGGCTTCTATTTTTCTTTTAGTAATCCATATACAGCGCTTACCAATAGCAATAGCACTTACACTTATATGCCACCACATAGTGCTTTACAGCACTCTCTGAGCAGTTTACAAATGACAGCATATTGCCCCCAGTAATATGGCTCCTCGTTTTACCAACCTCAGAAGCATGGAATCAATCTTGAGCAAGTCAGGATCAAACTTCTGGCTGTAGGCAGTTTCCTTGCAATATTGCATTCTAACCACTGTGCCACCACAGTTCATATACACTCATGTAAATAAAGATAGGACACCCTCTAATATGTACCACCATAGATAGTTCTATGGTGGTACATATTAGAACATAGTAAAAATCTGGTTCTTACCAGTTATTAAAAGTATGTAAATGCAACTTGGTTTTCTTTTTGTAAAATAAATGATGACATGCTGTAATATGTCACATGTTGTCCATCTGAAGTTAAATTTATCTACTTTTAAAAACCAGATGATTTTTAATATATCCTGATATGCAAAGCCATAGGATTCAAAAAGGGTGTACTTCTTTTTCACATGACTGTAGCCCCCCAGTGAGTTCAATGGGATTTATCCTCAGGTAGATAGATTTGCAGTTTCTATGAGGTCAATGGGATTTTTTTCCTGGGAAATATTGCTACTAGTACTTGCCCACCTTCATGGCTTCCTCACATCCCTATTGCAGATGAATTGAGTTATAAGTGTTTTTTATTAGAGTTTATTATACTATAAAATACAAATGGAAATGGAGATCAGAAGGGAAAAAGGAAAGAG